TTGCTTGTTCCTTTTTTGTCTATAATGTCATTATTTCAACTAATATGAAAAACAGAAAGGAAAAGTTCAATGTAGAGTCAGAAAAGCTTCTTTAAAACATATTGTAAAAAGTAGACAGCTTTTCAGGTCAGGACCCAAGATCCTTAGTGGACTAAATTTTTTTGTTATGCAAAGAACAGAATCATTCCCAATGAATACAAGGTGCCCAAACCTAAGACCCCAATAGAAACAGTAGAGAATCTTTGTTCCTCAAGATGATTTTTCTTTAAATCAAAGGAGCAGAAAATTCTGAGCCTTGCAAGTTGGCTGTGATTGTCCAGTTTTATAGATGGGGTGAGTGAGGGACCTCAAACCATTTGTCCATAGCCATCATCGGATGGCTGAGCTCTGATTTAAAGGAAGCCTGTTTGTTTGTGAATTCTGAACTCTTTTTATTGCACTCTGCTGTCCTCTTTACCAGCCCCACAGCAGAATATATATCTTCATATTGACATTGCCCAGTCCTTCTCCCTGAAGATAGAGCTCATGGTGGTTCCACATAGACTAAACACCTGATGACAGCACAGCTCATCTCTGCTTGCCCATGAATGAACACAGCCTGTCTTTAACCCAATCCCATTCCTGGGGCAAAAAGCACACAAAGACACCTGCAATTTCCAAGAAACACAGAAGCATGACTTCAACTTACATCTTCTTGCCACTCAAAACTCAGTCCAAAATAAAATGTACCTTTTTTTAACAGGCAACCATTTCTTAAGCCATTTAGTCCCCCTACTTTTAAGATCCAACTCCATCTCACTTACATATATTGGGTGGCCTTACACCTCTCTAATAGGAGCCAGTATCTTAAGGTTATTCATTTATGTACTGCATTGCGTGTGCTTCTGTTCGAATTTAGCTGTCAACACCTCACGCTTGTAAAATCAGTCTGTGAGATATTAATGTAACCATCACACATTACAACATGGTGGACACTGTATTTGTTCTAACAGCAAAAATAGGCAAAATATTTGCCTGTGTGCATTTTCTCTAAAGCAAAGACAATAACACAATATAAATGACAGTATGTGTTTTACAGAAGAATTATTACAAAAAGAGGTAAAAGCCAGGTTGAGTATTGTTGGAGAATACCATAATATCAGGAGATTCTAACAGGACAGGAGGGGGCAGGAATTATGCATAGGGTACAGATTTTTATGAAGAAAAAATTCCCATTCATGTCACTTGCTGCTTATTGTTACTATAATCTTATTTTCTAACTGCACGTACAATACAATGAGTTTTCACAATGATTTAATGGGGAATCCAATGCTTTAGTTTTAAAAATAGTCAATTCTCTTGTGCTAAGAAAGAGCACGTTGCCTGTGGAGCTGTGTAACTGACAAGATGGAAGAATGCGGACAGGATATCGAGGTTGAAGCTTTTCAATCACCTACCATTAATATGATTCAATTTATGCTTATGTCATAGGTTTAGACATTGCACAGTGCTGCAAGCAAGGAAGAGACTTGAATAAAATACAGTGAAGAAAGCAGATGGTATGCTATCAAAACCCTTCAAGCCTAAAATAACCTTTCCCAAGGAAGGAGGATAGTTAATTAAAACCAGGATATATTTACTCTATTCTGAATATTTCAATGTAAATAAAAATCAAACTGACACAACTGTAATATTGGATTAAATGATGAAATTTCATCTCTTCTATTTTTCTTTAATAGTTTCTAATCAAACTTTTCATTAAACAGCTTCATAAAATTCCATGGAGAATTAATTTACAGGGAGTCGTTGTAGATTTAAAAGTCTACTTTTATTGTTCAATTAAACTTGTTATTCAGTGGACAACATTAAAAAACAGCAGGGACAAGGGAGCTGTCTGGACAGTTGGGCAAGGTTGTCCCAAAGAGCAAAATCTCTTTTCAGAGATGAGTTCAGGGAATGCAGTTAACCCAGAACGAATTGTAGGGTGATCCCTATCCCAGAGAGAAAGCTAGTTCCAGTTTCAAAGTTGCTGCCTGGATTCTCTCCCAGGCTGGGCTCACTGGCTCACATCCATGTTCCACTGGTAGAGAGGATATCAGGCTACTTATAAAACCCACCTTAAGGGTAGTGACCAAAAGCAGAACAAACCCAGTGGAAACCAAAATTGACCAAGTAAAAGAAGAATCAGGACATGGGTTTTAAACAATCTACACTTTTCCAACAATTTTTTTAAAAAACCAACCTCTATGTTGTAACTCTACCATGAGGCTTTTCTTGACTGCTTACCCTGATTGCTGTCTCTAGCCGCCCCCCACCTGCTTTCTGTGCCACTCACGGAATACCCAATCACTGACTTTTTTGAAACATTAGTTAACCTTTCAAGTACATTAATCCTGTCTTCCCCAGTTAGAATTTAAACCCTCAAAACAAGCAATGGTCATGTTTTATTTTATCTTTTACGTGACCCCTCCCAACCCCACTCCATAATCCCATTTAATAGAAGAAAGCAAAAAGTATATTAGTTAATAAAATAAATATTGCTCAATCATAGGAAAACAGACACTGTCCTTTTGAGAAGGACCTTGGAGGTATTTTATGACAATTTATGAATTTCATGTGTCAAAGGTGTAGCTGCTAGATGCCATAAAGTCTTTGCCATCAGCTCTACAATTCATCCACCTGGTGATATGGCTAATAAAATTTGATTTTTACAGCCTAGGCATACTGTTACCTAAATTACATTTGACCAATTACTGAAGTCACCAAACGTGTGGTACAGAATATATACTGTGTAGAAAATTCATCTGTGGGCCCCCTGGCACTCTCGGTAATCTGACAGAAGTGTTTCAGTCATCTGGCAGTGTTTAATATTAGGAACATTTGTTTAATGCTAGTCACTAATTAAATTTATGTTCTTCTACCAACTGTTAGTTGATTGGAGAAACCCAATGCCACATTTTTAGCAAACACTTTAACCCATGTTGATCCCAAATGCAACCAGTGGAGGTTTAAAAAGCATGTTTTCTGGAAATTTAGATGTTCAACTAAAAGTGGGAGGTAGGAAAAGCATGTGGTGAAATTGCTCATATAGGGTCAAAATAGGCTTGTTTGTTCACTTGCTAACATGAACTACTTTAAGTACAAACTATTTGAAGTACAAATTTAACTTTAAAAAAATTCAATATTCTAATTATTAAGCTAGCCCCCTAGAAGCTCTTTCAAGGTAATTTTATTCCAAAAGAAAGCTTCCACTGTATGAGGCTGGAGAAGAAAGACAGCACTAGAATTAGCTATACCAGAAGAAAGTTCAAGAAAACATTCAAAAGTCAGATGCTTATGTTTGTGAGAACATTTAAAACTAATTTAGTATCTCTTAACAACCATTGTGATCATTGTTGAATTGGAACTTCTTTCTATTACCAGTTCTAGATGTAACAGCTTTGAAACTCAATGACTAATAACTCTTAAATTATCCAAAAGGTTAAAACACTTTTTTCATTATATTGCATTGGGAAACTCTAATTTTGAATATTCTTAAGTGAAGGAAAGCATTCTTTTAGCTTTATTCTGTGTAAGGAATTTAGAGCTCTCTTGAGAAGCAAGCAGGACACAGAGTTTGGGAGTAGGTGATATGGAAGAAAAACTGAAGTATTAAATAGCGGAGATCTGTAAATGCTGATCTGAAGATAAGGTATTTTAAAAATGAATTGGATACATTTGTCTGTTAAAATAAAAAGATTATTTGAATATTAAAAAGATGACAATAAATATTTCTTTTAAGAAGGAAAATATACTTGTACAAACATTATTACCCTCTCACAGACTGAGTCATTTGATAAGCCAAAGTTGTAAAAGACATCTGAAAAAACAATTTATAACAAAAACACAAGTCATGGCCTTTGGACTCTAAGGAGTTTAGATCTTTTTGTTTCCCTCCTTCCTTCCCAGCTTGGGTTATCAGATCCCATCCCTTCAACCCTGGCTCCTCCTCTGCTCACACATCTTCTTACACATATCTTCTTACAAAGTCCCTCCAACAGAGTTGCTGGTGTCTTGAAGAAAGGAATTGGAGAGCAACATTGTAAACCACACAAAGGTCTACAATGGCTGAGCAAAGTAAACAGAATTTGAATAATCTGCAAACAAGGGATCCTTGGGGACCCAGGCTAGAAATAGCCCATTCTAGGCAAGGAACTTCAACCTCTTCTTTATTCAGGTGTGTCCATGAAGGATTCAGCAGGGGTCCATCATTCTACTCAAGGGTGGTGATTCCCAGAAAGGGTAGCATGAGGTGGGGGCTTTTCATGCCTCTGTTAAGTGTAGGAATTCTCAGTTTGGGAAAACCACTGATATGATCCAATCTCTTCAACAAAGATGAGAAAATGAGAGTACAACTGTCTTGGCTTGCCTCCCATCAGACACTGCACCATTCCAGGTTTCCCAAACTGAGATGTGGTATATTCTTCCCAGCCCTTCTGTCTCTAGAGACACATGACCACTAAACTGTGCAGATATGCAGATAAGGATATGTGTACACATATCCATCTTTGGTGGGCATTATATGTACGTGTGTGTGTGTGTATGTGTGTGTGTGAAAAATTCTACTATCTATCCATCCATTCATTTTATAATAATGAAGTGTTTATAATCTGAGCATTTTGACAGTTCCTTATAAAATGGAGTGATCCGCTAAATTTTTTTTAAATCACTATTTGTATATCTAAGGCCCCTAAAGTAAGAACATGAAGGATTCCTGTACGAAAGTTTCAATTTCAAGGTCAACCAATTGGCTTCAGATTATATCGAACAACAAATTCTACATAGTAATCTTTTACCAATGTTAAATAGGGTCTGCCAAGAAGGCAATGACTCCTTATGGTACAGAAATTTGGGGGAATGGAAGGACTGGGGTAGCACATAGGCTTGTAAAAATAATTCCACTCTGCCACACTGCTATTTATAAGAACTGAAAACAACTATTCACATGCACAAGTTTCAGGTAGGGAAAAAGAAAGACTCACCAAATTCATCGCATATACTCTCATTTTCTATGAGAGTGGGGTGATCAAAGGTGTCTCGACAGTACAGGATCTGAGGGTTCCTGCTGACCACCGCGATGCCCCCCAGGGCTAATGCAAACTGGTCTGTTAGAATGGAAGATGGCTTATCCTGGATACGCTTCAGCATAGAGCGGTATCGGCAGTATTGAGGATAGCTGAGAACTATCACGTTCGATTCTTCCTCATCCTCCCCTAGACAAATGAGAAAATACTTCCATTATTCCCTTCAACAAATGGCATTTTTTCAGTGATCACCTCTGGTGTTGTACTAAAGATGTCCTCTCCAGCAAGGCCCTTACCCCAGCTCATCTTTATTCCAGTCTGACAACACCAAGTGTCCTCCTGTTCCATGTCACAAATCCAGCTCACGCCTTCCAAAGCCTCATGTTACTGGCTCAGTGTAACCCCTTTTGGAGAAAAGAGGAGTGGGAAGGAATCCCCTTCAAACATATTAAGCAATGTTTGTGTCCCCAGTGAGCAGTAAAACAAGCAACAAAAAACTGTTTCAAGAGAATCTGACATCTATTTTAGGCATTAAAGTCTTCATAATAGGAAAAAGAAGAAATTGTTGAGTTTCTTCACATTTATTTCTATAGTTTTGTATTGCTTTTATATTGGGTTATATAAGATTTCATACTTTTTTCAGTGCTTGGGACCTCTATAGAGGTTATCTGACCCTTAAGAGATGTCCATGAATCCAAAAAGCATTTTCACCTGCCCTGGGGATTCTTAGTGCTCTTCACCAAATATTTCCTATTCTCTTTATGGACCTGAGAAAGGCTGTGCTCATGCTCTTTTGGGAGTCTAAGGGCCATATGACTTGTTTTGGCCAATGAAATATGACAGAAGTGGTAGCTGCTTTAACAGCCAGAGTGCCACCGACCACAGTCTCTCTCTATCTTTGTTCTGGCCATCTGTAATGCTCAGATAGCAGCTACTCTGCCAGTCTGGGTCTTGGAGTAAAAATAACATTGAGCAGGGCCCCTGGTTGATCCAAAATAGATGCATCACATAAGCAGAAAATAAACCTTAATGCTTTTAATGATGATGATTTGGGAGCCATTTGTTATTGCAGCATGATCTATTCCAACTTGATTGATACATCCACCTTCTTTACCCTCCCCACACCCATACCCCCTATCTTTTAATGTTCCCCGAATCCATCTGGTAACTTGGCACATCTCAGGGAACCAGGCTGAGAGGGTTCCCCAAGCACTCTTGTGAGAGAGTTCCATCAGAACCAACTTAACTCAGGAAAATATTTCAGCAAATTTAGGGAATCTTCCTTCCTCTTACAGTGATCACAATGCTTATTTACACCCCACTATATTTTGTGCTCATTTACAAAAACCAGATTCAATATAGACAAATCTTTCCTTCATCTTAAGCCTGAGAAATGGCAAACACCCCCTTGGTAAGCTGCCACCTGCACAATGTCAAGCTGAATTTAGGCTCCATGACCCACTTTGCCATCACTCTCCATAACCACATCACCAGCACAGTTGTAAGAAATTCCCAGACTTGTCACTTGCTTATCCAAAGGGAAACCACTCAATATTTTGAGCCTTTCCCATGCTGCAGGGAATTGCACAAGACAGTTGTTAAGGATACCGACATTATCGTGGCCATCTGGTAACCAGTGGGAGATGAATGAGTAAGGACAGAACATAATGATGGAACATAACCAGTACCAATGGAAGGTGTGCATGTGACCTCTTCAGATAGGGGGCCAATACCCAGATGTATTTCTAATTATGTTCACTTAGTTCCTCAGGCTGGAGGTTTCTCCATGAATGAGATGTTTAACTGCTTGCAAGATGGTATCTTTTAATGGCTTACATTTCTTAGACTCCTGCCTGGTTTGTGGGCAGCTACTTTATCAGCTGGCATACTTAATGAAAAGGAAGTATGTTTACATGGCAGGCAAGACCTCACATGAAAAATAGGTTTGAGATGCTTATGTATGTCCCAAAACCTACCAATGTGAGATCCTTAGGGTTCAAATCTGTGATTGTTTTAGTTAAAAAGTTTTCGTGGAAATGTTCACCAACAATTGTTAGAACTCCATAGTATATAAATGCTATCTCAAGAAGTAGTTCTCGATGTCACTGGCTCTATGCTATGCTACATTTGTTTAAGATGTTATGACTGAGGGAGAGGGAGGTAACCATGGACTTCCAGAACTTACTTCAGGACCTAATACCCTGTCCCATACACAGTAAATGCTGTGCAAATTCCTGATGATTCCACAATTGTACTTTGGAGTGCCACTGGCTTTCTGTGAAAGGGGAAAGTTGCATCAGTTTCTCCAAAGGTTCTTAAAATAAAAGGAAGAAAATGATGTTTTCGGGTTGAATGAAGGTGAAAGAACAGTTGACAGAGTTGGTTTCATGGAAGAAGATGTCACCTGGACTAGGATCTACTTCACTTTCTTCCTTGTCCCTTCATTCTTCTGTTTTTCTCTGACCATTTTTCACAATGACACCATCTCTTCCTAATTCTCTGCTCTGGATGGAGTTAGCTCCCTGGAAATCTTTTGGACTTAGACATGGTCTCATTTTGTTTCCTCATAGTTCACAACATTTATTCCACTTTCCTTCACACAGTTCTTGAAACACTAGCTAAATCATGAGTCCTTTGCTCTTTGTTGGAAGAAAGACAGCAAGTTCCCACTACTCCTAAGTCATGGAAATGAGTCCTACCACTATCCATTGATTCTGGATACAGTGTCTCTAAAGTTATCCTGGGACTGCCTACATCAGACTCACATAGAACACCTCTAAAAAGACAGACTCTGGCTGCCATCAAGGATGACTGGCTCAGAATCTCTAAGGTTGGGGGTCAGCAATTTACATTTACAACAAGCATCCAAGCTAGCTCATGCACACTAAACTTTGAAACCAGCATTTCTGAGTCTTAGTTTGGCTTTTTGCATAAACATATAGTAACTTATTTAGCTTGGGTTTTGAAATATACATATAGTATACTTTAAACTATATATTTATATTACATGACACATAGATATATTTATATATTCCATGTAATATGTATTATGTACAATATGTAATATATTGTATACAATATAGTCTATATAATACCCATAAATATATAAATGTACAGTTATATATATGTGAATATATATGTACACAGTTGTCAGGTATAGTTTTATATATATATATATATATATATGAATATACACACATACAGACATACATAAAACAGTTGTCAGATACATCTTCTTATTTGTATTTCTCTTTGAAACCCCTGAGTACCTAGAACAAGCACGGGACTAAGCTTCCTTTTACTTGTACTTTTTCAGGATTATTGCTGGTGTCAGAGAAGACAGAAAATGGAAAGAAAAAAAACCTGCTAAAAACATGAGAGACTATTTTCTTTTTTTTAGTGATTAAAAAACAGTGAATTTTATGAAAGTTTATTTGTTTTTCCTTGGATAATTTCATTTTCTTTTTATTGTTGTACTGGGTGGGGGTACATTGTAGCATTTACAAAAGTTCTTACAATATATCAAATATATGATATTTGAATTCACCCCATCCACCATTTTCCTTTATCCCTCTTCCCCCATTCCTAGGACAGTTTCAACATGTATCATTTTTCCATTTACATACATGTGTATACAGTATTTGCACTATATTCACTCTCCCTTCACCCTTTCCCCACACCCTACCCCCCCGCCACTGGTACTAACACTCCCAGGTAGGCCCTGTTCTGCTCTCCTGTTCTCTAATTTTGTAAAAGAAAACAATGACATTTTTGTTTGTTTAAGACAGCTATACAGGGAGCATCCTTGTGACATTTCCATGTCTATATGTATTATAAACCGAATCGGTTCATCTTTTCTATTTTTCTTCTTTCTACCCTAGTCTCCTACTTATGGTAATTTCAACAGATTTAAAAATTCTATATTCATTCTTGTATAGAGAGCACATCAACCATTTTCACCTTCTTAACTTCCTTCCTTTGCCCAGCTCCTGGGCAACCATTTTCCTGTTTAGAAAGCAGAGCAAGTTTTAATGCTACTTCTGGTACTGATAATAATAAAACAGTAAAGTTTACTAAGGTCTTTTACAAAAAATGTATGTTTTTTCCCTCATGACAACCCTATTCACAGCACCATTACATGTTAATATTCCCCAATTTAGCAGTAAGAAAACTGAAATTCAGACACCTAAGTGACTAGTCCAAGATCTCTAAGAGCTAGAAAGTGATGGAGGTTAAGACTGCAATCCAGTATCTTAACTCTAAGTATGATGAACTTTTTGTTATCACAAAATGTCTCAAATAGTAATAGTAGTAAAAATAATAATAAAGATTTAACTAATTTACAGTATTATTAATGAGGATAATGGCCTTTGAGCAAGTAAAATATGAGACTATGAGACTTCTGTTTCACAGAAAGCTACAATTCAGTCAGTTATAAGAGAGAATTATTCTCCTCTGGTTAAGTAAACTTGTTATTATTGGGGAACACTGAAATTCTCATCATAGAGATTTAACATTATTGATGCATTTTTCACATGTATTGACTTTCTACCCATGTGATAGGAAACAACACCAACCTCATGTTTTGCAAGCCTAGTACACCTACCTCTCAATAAACTCTTCCCATATTAGGAGGCTAGATACTTAGGTGGGATCTGGTCTAATGTGTCAACACTTGGTGATCCCTCAACAAAAATTATGATAACTTTCTTGCTTATAAACAGAACTATCAATTTGGACCAGAATTTTGGCATTGTTTGGACTGAGGCACATTTCCAACCTTATTCCAGCCTTATAATTAGCCATTCCTAGAGGAACTGCCTTTCATATTTACAAAACCAGAGAAAGCCATGAGACTCTCAGGACTCTTATTTAAGTTAACAAAGAATATGAGGTAACAGAGTAAAGAGAAGATGCAAAAGAAAGGCAAGACCTGGAGGGACGAGGCAGTGTGGGTCACATTTTCGCTGAGCAAAAACACTCTGAGTCACTGTAGTTTAGACAGCTATGCTTATTTTACTGCAGAGACATTTTTTTTTTCTCAAGACAAGGTGTGGTCACTTTAATGCAATAGGTATATAAAACAGTAAAAAACCAAGACTTAGTGGAAAGCTTTTCAGATCTAAATGTCTATGATCCTATAACTGCCTCCTATAAGCTTCTGCATTAAGTTAACTTCCTCCTAACAC